ATATTAAATGTCAAGTCTGTATATATATATATATATATATATATATATATATATATATATATATATATTATACATATGGAAAGATAGTACTAATAGTAAATAAATGAAAAAAATTATACCTATATAATGTTATACAAAATACATTGTAGTAATATACAGGTGAGGTGCATGAAATCTTTGTGTTAATTACGTTTTTTCATAATTTCACTTACAAAATTCCCTACTGCAATTGCACTCTGTTCAGTGGGTGGGTTTAGAATGAAGTCAAACTGTTTGACCTTGTCTGCTAGACCCTGCAAGTTTAACTCTGGTATGCATTCGAATAGCAATTTTCTTTCAATTTCGTGATGGGCGCAATTTAGGAAAAATGAATTTCATCTTCCACCTCATTACAATGGGGGCATTTTCGGTCTGAAAGTTGTGTTTTTTGGGTTTGTATGTCAAGACAAGTTCAAGACACCAAAACGATATGAAGGATACATGAAAAAAGGAATTTATTTAGTTGATGATACTTTGAAAAGCTGAAAGGACCAGATCATTTTGATAACGAAGTTGCAAGATCACCTAGCAGTGAATTTATTTTCAGTTTGCATTGTAGTATGTCTTCTAAGACTGGGTTCCCATACCTAGATCGATTTCTCGCTAAATTTTGCTTTCAGCTTAAGCGGCCCAGATGTCTGGCACGCCAACTGAAGCTGTAAAACGATAATTTATTACCCCCCAGCAGCTTCAGTAGGCGTGACAGACAACTAAGGCGCCTAAATTGATTGCAATTTAGCGAGAATCCCCTCGGAGATAGATCGATTAACAGTTAGTACAATAGGGTCCGGGAATGGTCCTTAGGAATCGAATTGGATATACTGAATGGCTTTCTTATCACTTCAGATTCAAGGAAAATGGTACGAGATAAAATTCTACGAACCTAACCTCAACCCAAAATGGTTGTGGATTGACTACATAAATGAGTTCACCACTGTGGGAAATTTTCACTTGGCTGCGATAAATGTAGCCATAGTTTTTTTTCGTAGAACAAGAAATGCGTGCTTGCGTGTAGTTATCACCATGCGAGTGTTCGACTGTTTTCAGAGAGTTGGTGTTGACTGCACTTCTTCCATCTTTCCATGATCATAATAAATTAACATATATATTTCATCTGGATTTTCTATCAAGCAGGAAATAAGTGGCACATTTTATGTACATATTTTGTTTTTTTCCCTTCCTTTTGAGGACCGACTTTTCAGGTTTATTTACGCCGTAATTTTTGATTTAAGGAAACACACAGTATAAAACGTGGCTT